ATAACAAAGCTCTTCCCAAAATGGCTGCCCGGCCCACACGGCCCAGGAGGGGCAGAACGGGTAGAGGGGAAGGAGCTACGACCAGCCGGCCCTCCCCCTCCTGACCCCGCCTTACACACGCCCACCCGATCGCACCGCCCACAGGAGCTCACGCGCTTGCGCCCCGCTCAGACGACAGCCCCTCCCCCCTCCTGGCCCCGTCTCTCTCAAAGGGTGTTCCACGCTCTCCAGTCAACGTTCGGCCACTAGAAAGGCGGTTATCCTTCGCTCGGCCCCTATCTCTCCTTACCGCAACACCCAGAGGCTCGTGGTCACCCCCGTGCTGCAGTAGAATTAAATTCTCTGCTGTCCCCTATTGACAGCTGAGGCAGCGATCAACAGAGTTTGGTACTACCAACTGAATCCTTCCCAACGCTAGGGCCTGAGCGCGTGTATGTGTATGTATGTATATATGCATCAATTTTCCCCTGCCTCTTCCTTCTTCACCCACCAACATTCCGCCTCTGAGCATGTACGCGTCCCTAAACTACCTCGACAAAGTACTAGCGAACCGGTTTTGGAGGAGTGTTGTGATTTCCGACCCCTGCCCACCTTCTGTTCCCTCCTTCACGTGCGCCCGTCGTTGAGACTCCAATCCCCAGCGGGCCATACGATGCAGTTCTGGAGACCTGCGCAGCACTGCAAGGCGCGCTACCAGTTGGGAGTGGTAGTTCGGAAAACGGTAGGCGTCACGCCCCTGACCCACAGCGGAAGGATGTCTGGCCGGAGCCGGTGCTGGAGCCAAAGCCCAAGCGAAAAAGCTACTTCTCCGACGCAAAGTTTCATTGGGTATAGTTCAATGGAAAGAGGTGGTGCTACCACGCTGAGAAAGAAATTAAAGTGAAAGCCTAGCGAGACTAGAAGCAGTAAGTATTAAGAATTCCTTGTGAGCTTAGCACGGCAAACTAAGTCAAGTAATGGCCAGCAATCAAAAAGCTAGACTAGACTACCATAAATCCGAAGGAATGGAGGAAACGGGCTCCTGAGATCTTCTATTATCATCAGTTTTATCTTAAAGACAGGAATTGCCTGGTGCCGTTTCCTTTTATAGACTGAAATAATGGCCCAGAGAAGGGAAGGAACTTGCTCAAAGACACATAGGCGAGAAGTAAATAAAAATTAAAGCCAAGGGTGGTGAGAGGAATGATCCAACTAACGGAATCAACACCATGTCCAAACATTTTTTTTTTCACATCATTCATTGTTGTTAAGTGCCATCGGGTCGATTTCGACCCATAGCGACCCTGTATATAATTTCCAAGGAGCAGCTGGTGGGTTTGAACCTTCAGAAGTGAAAATCCTGTCCCTGTGCTCTTAATTTCTTAATGAAGTTCCTACGTCCCAACAGAGAAGTAAAAACAAAGTTGTTTTTCCTTAAATAATATTAGTAATTAAATAACCTAATGCGGAGTGAGTCAAGCTCCGTCGATTCCAGAAACATCGTTTTGCAAAGCAAAAAAAATGAGTTCTATGGTCGGCAAGCAATTAGACCAAATCACACTTGGTGTGTACTCCAAGACTCCTACCTTCCTGCACCACCATCACTCTGAGATTGCTTCAAAAACAGCACTCCACCTTCCCGAATTCTGCGACAGATTCCGCTGGCTGGGAACATTGGTCTAGAGAAACAAGGACAGTTCAAATATCCTTCCGACCTCCAGTAGAATTAAGATTTGAAAAGAATGGCCCCAAGACGAATACGCGGACTCGGAACTAATTAGCGCAAGTCTAGTTCCCAGCCGGACTCATTTTCTGTTTCTCTGGAAGTAGGGACTGTTTAATCCTACTCGCCGGAAGTGCCCTTTCACTGGTTTGGGGCTGTTGTCGCACATCGGTTTTGGCTCTACGGTGGCAAGGAAGTACCGGGACGGCCAGAAGTGGAAAGAGGTTTGGTAGGAAATAGAAGCCGCGGGTACTCTTAGGCAAGTATTTCGAGGCTCCTAGGTTCCTAACTCCGCCCCATATTCTCGGATGTCGGTTTTGAGACTTGCAGATAATGCATAGGGTCACTGAGAGTCAGAATCTACTCGACAGCACTTAACAACGTTGTAATTTTCTGCACCCAAACAACGTTTTTACTTAAATTGAGTGGATTAATTTTGGGGTCTCTGCCCATAATTCCCACATTGAGGATTTTAGGCAGTCGCTTTTTCGCTTTAATACTTCTGAATTATAGAGCTCTGGTAGCGCAGTGGTTACGAGTAGGACTCCTAATCTCACGATCAGGTAGTTCGAAATTACTAGCGGTTCCTCTGGGGAAGATGAGGCTTTCTGCTCCTATAAAGATTTACAGCCCCGGAAGCCCTATTCAGGGCCGTTTCGAGTCGGAACCGACTCTACGGTACACCACCACCACTCTTGAATGGGAAAATACTGTGCCATAGTGGGAGTTCCAAAAGTGAGGAGAGGGTTAAGATATAAAGATAGTCTGGAAAGTCCTCACCAAGAAAGCGATTTTGAACAAAGGAGAGGATATGGGCCCTGCGAGGATTAAGTCTGGGAGTGAGATGTGTGTCTTTGTCACCCAAGCTTTACTCAGATGCCAGAGTAACTGTATTCCTTTCTTACGTAAAATGAAGACATCGACTGCTATACATGATTTCTCGACCCAGGTCTAGAATCTGTGGTTAAGCAACTAGTCCAATAGCTGTAGACACTTAATGATCCTGGTTAAGAATGTGGGTGCGGGGTTCTTTCTCTCAGGCACTGCGGGTTAATGCACTAGACTGCATCCTCGGTTTGAACCTCACGGTCCGCGGTTCATGCTCACCAGCTGTTCCTCAGAAACCCTATAAAGGGACCCTATGAGTCGAAATCGACTCGATGGCACCTAACTTTAGGCACGGTTCTTAATCATTCCCTCCAATGTAATATGGAAATATAGGTAATGTTTCTTGAGGTCTAATTTTGTGTTAACTCACTCAAGGACCCTCTGAGGTTTATTATCCTTATTTAAAAAATGGTTGAACTGAACCGCAGCTAAGTAACTTGGCCAAAGTCACACAGCTAATCAGTTTTGAAGCCAGGATTCCAAATTCTGCACTTTAAAAAATTTTAGCCTATACTGCTTGTCATTGCTAACTTGATGCAGTAATTGTGAGCATTAGAGTTAATGCATGTAAAACATACTTATAATGCCTGGCTCGCCGCTACATGGTATGTATTATTTGCTATCCCTCTGGTAAGGAGCTCTGGTAGCGTAGTGGTTACCAATCGGGCTGCTGACGTCAAGGTCAGTAGTTCGAAACTTGAGGCATTCTGTTCCAGTAAAGATTTACAGCCTTGGAAACCCTGTACAAGGTCGCTATGGGTCGGAACCGACTCCACGGTACTTAACAACAACAACAATCCCTCTGGTGGGAGCCTTGGTGTGGCGCTTTGGGCTAATACGTCAGACTGCAAAGTCATTTGAACTGCAAGGTTGGTGGTTCAAACTCACCAGCTGCTATATGGGTTGCCATGGATCGGAATCAACTCCCCGGCACTTAACATCCCTCTGGTAGCTTAGTGGTTATGAGTTGGACTGCTAACGTCAAGGTCAGCAGTTCGAAATTACCAGCTGTTCCGTGGGAGAAAGATGAGGCTTTCAGCTCCGATAAAGATTTATAGCCTTAGAAACCCTGTACAGGGTCGCTATGAGCCCTAACCAACTACATGGCACACAACCACTACCACCATCACTGTGGGATAATTCACTAGACTGCAGGGTCAGTTTGAACTACAAAGTTGGTGGTTCAAATTCACCAGCCACTCCTCAGAAACCCTAATGTTGTTGTCAGGTGCCATCGAGTCGGAACCGACTCATAGCGACCCCATGCACAGCAGAATGAAACAATGTCCGATCCTGGGCCAACCTCACTACCGCTGCCACACTTGAGTCCATCAATGATGCCACCTGGCTGATCCATCTCGTTGGGGGTCTTCCTCTTTTTCTCTGACCCTCCACCCTACCCAGCATGACATCCTTCTCCAACGATTGCTTCCTCCGGACAATATGTCCAAAGTAGGAGAGACGAAGCTTAGCCATCCTGGCCTCCAAGGAGCACTCTGGCTGCACTTCTTCCAAAACAGATCTATTGGTTCTTTTGGCAGTCCATGGCACTTTCAGTATTCTCCTCCAACACCACAACTCAAAGGCATCTTCTATGATCCTCCTTATTCACTGTCCAGCTTTCGCATCCATATGAGGCTATTGAAAACACAATGGCCTGGGTCAGGCGCACCTTAGTCCTCAAGCTGACATCTCTGCTCTTCAATACTTTAAAAAGTTCCTGGGCAGCAGATTTGCCCAATGCAATACGTCGTCTGATCTCTTCACTGCTGCTTCCGCGAATGTTGATAGTTGATCCAAGAAGAATGAAGTCCTTGACAACTTCAATCTTTTCTCCATTGATAAGAATATTGTTTATTGGTCCAGTGGTGAGGATTTTTGTTTTCTTGACATTGAGATGTAATCCATATCGAAGGCTGTGCTCTTTAATCTTCATAAGTAAATGATTCAAGTCCTCTTCAATACAAGGTTGATATGAATTGGAACAGACTTCACAGCACTTACCAACAACAACTAATCATTATTATAATACTTACCTGAGGGGGAAAAAAGTGAACAGAGAAATTGTGACCTTCATTTTTTAAAATGGTACCTAAGAAAGCATTTCTCCAACTAGAAGTGGTGGAGCTGTTCGTAAAATCAATGTATTTGTCTACACCAGACAGTAAAGCTAAATGAACCTTTCAGGAAAGAAAAGATCCTATATCCTTAATGTGTTAGTGATTCTTTGAAAACATTCTCTCTTCAAAGGAAATGTAATGGAAGAAATTCTCATGTTTGTTTTTAAAAAATTGTATGTAAAACTCGTAAATTAAGTGACATCTTGTTTTGTATGCAGCAATGTACTTCTAATTCAGCCCTTGCATGACTGCCTGACAGCTTCCTGAGCAAGACATTCAATTGGTACAGTATGCTATACTTCATCCAGAAATTTTCTCAAGCATCTTCAAAGGTTAGTTTATTTAGCAACTATTTGAGCACTATTTTTCAGGCATGGTTCTGTCTTGGGTAGTAGTAGTGAAAAGGACAAAAAAATTCCTTGTCTCCTCAGGTATTCATATGGTAGAAGGGTTGGATAATATACAAGTAAGTAATATGTCAAGTGGTAAGTGCTGTGGAGAGCTAACTAAAGCAGGGAAGGGGAATTAGTCAGTGTCAAGAATAGGCACAGGTACACATGGAGTCCTGGTGTGTGTTGTGCTGTAGGTTCAAACTGACCATCCACTCCTCAGAAACCCTAAACAGGGTCTCTAAGTCAGAACCAACTTGATGGCACTTAACACACAGCCATAAAAAGAAATGAAATCTTGATACTTGCTACCACATGGATAAACCTTGAAAATATGCTCAGTGAAAATGTCAGTTACAAAAAGACAAATATTGTGTGATTCTCACGTGAACTATGTAGAATAACCAAGTTTATTATTGGTTATGGGAGGGGGAGGGCAGGTAGCACTAATGTGGCACTGTCATATAAGCACTAGACTGCTAACCATAGGTTGGTGGTTCAAACCCGCCAGCCGTTCCTTGGAAACCGTATCCCTATACAGGGTTACTGTGAATTGGAACCAACTCAAAGGCACACAATAACAAGGGGTAGGATGGAGTAAGAAGGTGGAGTCATTGTTTAGGTAATAGAATCTTTTGTAAATGGATAGTGGTGGTTATGCAATGTGAATGTAATCAGTATCATTGAACTGTACATGTAAAGAAATGTTGAATTGACAACATTTGTTTTTTGCCACTTGTACATAAAGAATAGACTTGTAAGTAAAGATTGCACTTGTAAGTAAGATGATCAGACATGAGATAGTGGTCCATGTACATAGCTGAAAGAAAAGTGATCCAGACAAGGGAAAATGGCCCCAAGATAAGATCATTCCTAATATGTCTGAAGAATCACTGAGATTTATGAATAAGTTTCATTGTTGCATTCATCTGTTTATTAAATGAAGTCTGACTTCTCACTAAAGCACAGAATCAGCAGGAAAGGTTACTACTTTGGCATATGCCATGAAAGGCAATGTTTTTGGGGTTTTTTTTTTTAAGGGCAAAGTTGTTAATGATTCTGGCTGTCAAGTGTGTTGAGACAAACATAAATAAATATGCAATTTTAATTCACTGAGAATTATGATGGAAGTATGAGTTGGGTACTTATATTGTTCATTACTTATGTTGTATAAAACTTGAGAAACTGTTCACTGCAGGTTAGTAAATAAGTAGAAGCAAGCACATGCTTACTTTGCTTATAGGGTAATCCACCCATGAATGCAGTGTTAATAATGCTAAATTGGAAGGTAAATTGCTTTTCTCTAAATAAAATAACATTCCCAAAATTCATAAATAGGAGAGGTACTTTAGAAAGCCAAATACCTAGTCTTTACTTGTTCCTTTTTTAGATATTTCTCTTAAGGAGTAAGATTAGTGTTAGACTGAGCATAATACTGGGTTCTGTTCATTAGTTTCTTCTGTATGTTATATGTCTGGTTTAACAGTTTTAATCAGTTCATTCTGTAGATGTTGGTGTGCTAATAATGCAAGCACGTATTGTTTGAGATTAGGGTTAGCAAAGAAATCTGGTGCTATTTTTCTTTTTTAATCAGTTTTTTTCAACTGGTTTTATTTTCTTTATAGATGCTGAAGTACCCTTTTACAGTGGGCTTAGGAGCCAGCAGAAAAATCGATCAACTATCTCTTAAGACATCGTTTCAGCAGAACTTTCCCCCTTTGTTTTCAAGGCCGTGGTTCTTGTCATCATTTCCAATGTGTATGAGTAAAACACAGTGCTATCATACATCCCCATGCTGTTTTAAGAAGAAGGAGAAGCAAGCAGAACTTACAGCCAGGTCACCAAGCATCATCACCTACCTGCCTGACAGTCCAAAGCCAGCTCTATACTTGACTCTAGCAGGACTGGTCCCTTTTGTTGCTGCACCACTGTTCATGGTGATGACAAAGACTTACATCCCCATATTAGCTTTTACTCAGATGGCTTATGGAGCCAGTTTTCTGTCTTTCCTAGGGGGTGTCAGGTGGGGCTTTGCTCTACCAGAAAGTAGTCCAGCCAAACCAGACTTCCTTAATTTAGCTAATAGTATTGCTCCTGTTGTGTTTTCATGGCTTGCCTTCCTTATTTCTGAAAGACTTAGTGAAGCTATAGTAACAGTAATAATAGGTTTAGGGATAGTATTACATATTGAACTTTTTCTCTTGCCACATTATCCTAATTGGTTCAAAGCCCTGAGGATAGCAGTAACTTTAGTGGCCTGTTTTTCATTAGTAATCACTTTAGTACTTAAAGATGTTTATCCAGAAAAAGGATTCAAGAAACATGGACAAGTAGAATAAATACAAAACTACTCTGTAGATATCGTTAACATGTTGGCTACAAACTTTGTAAGGTGGTATTTGCTATCAGCTTTTTCTCCTACTGTTTTCTTCCACCAATGGTAGGTAATTCATTCTTCACCGAATGCTTGTCATTTCTACAAATAGTTGCTTCTTTGTAATTTGAGCAAGAGCTTAAAAAATCCTTGACAACTGTGTCACATTAGATGATAGTGTTTTTATTCACTCTTTATGAATTACATAGTCATTTATTTACATACTTTAATATTGTGATTTTCTTTGAAAATTATAAAATTAAAAGAAATTTTTGCTAGGTATTATTTAAAACACACAAAATCACTCCGTTCAAAAGCAAAACTTCTTGAATCCCCAAATGTCCAAAAGTAACAGGTGGTTTCAGTGCAATTTTTTACATTATTTGTGCCTAAAGCGGAAGACCCCCAGTGAGGTGAATTGGCAATAAGACAACATCAATGGGCTCAAGATTAGCAACAATTGTGAGGTTGGCTCAAGACCAGGGCAGTGTTTCGTTCTATTGTACATAGGGTCGCTATGAGTCAGTACCGACTCAATGGCACCTAACTACAACCTAGTTATATGAACAAAAGGACTGTGCCTCTAAATCTAGTCAGGAGCAGTGTCACAAAGGACAGCCAAATTCAAGAAAAAGCTAGACACTTTTTAAAATCAGAGTATTGGACATGGTATAGATGTAACTCATCCCCTTATCACCAAATGTATACCAGTGAATCAAAAACATTTAATAAAGCCACTGTTGTTGTCAAGTGCCGTCGAGTCGATTCTGACCCATAGCGACCCTGTATAGGGTTTCCAAGGAGCAGCTGGTGTGCTTGAACCACTGACCTTGCAGTTCAAACAGCTTTGCAGTCTAGTGCATTAATGCATAGCGCCACACCAGGACTCCAATAAAGCCACTAGTACATATCAATTAGGGGTACAAGTTAAGCTGGAGTCTACTTGATCTGAAGAGCAAGCCTATCTGGTTCTACATCTGTTAACTAACAAGCTTTTTCAAACCAACAGGAAACACTTTGGATTCTAACTTAAAAACCTAGTCTCTTGAAATTCCTAGTTTCACCAAATGCAAAATATTTAAAATGTAAGAATAGAAGTCAGGAAAGGGTATAATCTGATATATATTATCTTTGTTACTCATATACTCAAGTGTTAGCTAGGTCAAATTCTATAAATTAGATGATAGCCACTCCAGTGATACTTGCTGTGAAGAGCTTTATCAGAGATTAGAACATTAACTTAAAGTCCTGGTGTGGCACTGTAGGCTAAGTGCTGGACCACAAGGTCGTTTTGAACCGCATAGTTGTTGGTTCAAACCCACCAGCTATTCCTTGAAAACCCTATACAGGGTCTCTATGAGAACTAACAACAACAGAGCATTAACTTGAATACATTCTTATAAATCATAGAGTTAGACCTAATTATGATTATTGAGTAGCTTACTAAAAGGCCACGGCTGAAACTACCACAGGAATCTATTTTTTCAATGTGAAGAATAGTTCCACGGCCTGATAAGAATGGAAGCTCATTGTTAGACCTCCTCAGAGTCTTGGTTTTGGTGAGGATATTCATTTCTTTGCTGAATTACAGGATAGTATACAAACTTCCTTGATCTCAAATACATTATATTTCAAAATAGGGGAAAGTTGTTTCTTGACTAATTGCCCAGTTACACACACACACACACAGAAAAATGCTATATTATAGCTGAGTAACAGTATAAGTTTATTTTAACCAAAACTGACAATTTATTGCATTTTAAATTGGCAGATATTTTGAAGATCATTTTTAATAGTTGCTGAGAAAACAAAGGTAAAATTAAATGTGCAGATCCTAAAAGTTACAACTTTAAAACCTGGACAAACATTTTTGCTGTAACAAAAAAGAAGAAAACAAAACAAAGCCTGGGTAATCTTACTATGTTCTAATAATCCAGAAACACTGATAATAAACCAAAGAAGAAGAAAAATCCAGCTGCTTTGTTAGTACATTTTTTTTTTTAAACAATCTGTCATCTAGAAAATAAAACATAATGACCTATTTTCATGAATCTTCTGGGCCTTTGAAAACTTGCTATTTGAAAAATTAAAAGGGCTGTGGGGGTCATACTATATTGTTTTATCTTTCTATCAGTGTTTTATAATGACAGTTTGCTTTTCATCCTGAACCACCTTCATAATCTTTATATAGCAGTGTAAAATTCCTCTACTTTAAGTTTGTTCCGGGCAGTACTACGAGAATAGTAGGAGCATTTCATAAGTCTGTTTTGAACCTGAGTACATATTCTCTAACTAAAAATATTAAAGGCACATAAATTAGAACTTAAATAAGTCTACAAATTACCTTTATACTTAATTCTTTAGACATTTACAGATCCCAATGAAAGCATTTGACCCTTCATACTTTCAGAATTTCCCAGTAAAGGGGACACAGCTTTTGGTCTGCACTATGTAAGCGTTTCCTAATACATGCATGTGATTATTAAAGAAACTGTTCCTCTGGGCCAAACCCAAACATGTTGGATATGAGTGCTACCTGAGGATTTAATGCTTACCAAAGATACTCTATTTAAATAAGCTGTTGATGCCTGCAACAATACACTGAAGGGCCTTAATAAAGAAATAGGAAAACCGGGGATATACAAACAAATCAAATCCTGAGTCAACTATGTATGGCTTCAACAGGCTAGTAAAAATAATTGTGTACATGATGAAATCTTCCCTTCAGAATGGAATAGAGAACAATTCTTGAAAAGGCTTCTCAGCAGAAATGAAATATTTAGAAGTAAAGGGCCTTTGAACTTGTGAGTTAGTGTCTATAAAAATTTTCACAGGAACCTAGAAATAGTCACTTCCAAGACAGTGTAGGTAGTAGCTTTGTTACTACAAAGCTTGTACTGAGATCTGCGCATGTATAAGTAATCTGCACATAGCTTGATAACCTAATAAAATTCCTCCTCTGCAAATCCAAACAAGATGTTTTTGATGACTATCTAAAAAACAAGGAAGAAACCTCCTAAATGTGTAATAAACCCTGCTAGGCCCTATCACCCATTAGATTATTCCAATACAATAAAGGACAGTGAGATGTCCTATTCCTCATTTGCACTCTCAACAAAGGACAAAAAAACAAAACAAAACATGAGCAAGCAGAAATTGTCCTGATGTTATCACCAGCTGTGGGAAGCCCTGCCAGTACAGTAGTAAAAGCACTGAAGTACGAACCAAAGTTCAGCTGTTCGAACCCATCAGCTGTTCCACAAGAGAAAGATTAGGCATTTTGATTCTTTACAGATTTATAGCTTTGAAACTCCTGGGGCAGTTGTACTCTGTCCTATAGATTCACTAAGAGTCTGAATGAACTTGATGGAGGTGGGTTTGGGGCATATGAGATGGCTTAAAAAATTGATGAAAAATTTAATTATCTCTTAATTTCATTTTCCACAAACTTTGAAGCCCCTTCATAAAGAAAACTAGAGATTTCCTGAAGGATGTTCCTAGTATGTTAAGTGTCATCAAGTCGGTTCCACCTCACTGAACCTGTATAGGGTGAGGAGTGGCTGGTAAATTTGAACCACTGACTTATGGTTCAAACTGACCTTGTGTTCCAATACATTATCCCATGGCACCACACCAAGACTTTGCTCCTAGTACATCTACTGCCAATAAAAAATCAAGGCTAGTGAAAACTTCTGGTATCAAGTAGGAAGTTGTTTCATTGGCTTTTCTGTATACGTTAAACTATAGCCATGAAAAATGCTCTGCATTGAATAATGAATGTATAGAGATTTTCAAACTCAAATTGTTATAATTCTTGGGTCATAAAAAGGTCATGTTGAAGTTTGAATTGGAGAAGTAGCTAAAGGGACTATTGGCCAAGAAACCTCTAAAAATAATTTTATTAGTATATAGCATTTCTATCATTAGTAAACTTTGCAAATTTGTGTGAACTCTTTATTAATTTAGACATTCTATATACCTTCTCAAATTCTTATAATAAAAATCTCTTTAGTCATTTCTCAACCAAATACATGGAAGACCCAGTAAGATCAGAGGGTCCTCTCACCAAATATACGTTGGATTTGCAAAAGGCCAGGTCTCATATTTTCAAAATGTTTCAGATGTGCTTATGTGTATATTTTACAGTACAGCAACACCCCCTTCACAGCGACTGGTGATCATATTACCAATTTCTGTCCATGTATCTGAATGAGGGTTATAAACTTCAACGGAGTCCAAGGTTCCTGGGGCCAAGAAATCATGGCTGGAAGATCGGCCTCCAGAAACATACAAAAGCCCATTGACTGCCACAACACACATGCCTGCTCTAGGTACTTTCATTGAGGCAACTTCTACCCACTTTTCCTGTTTAAAAGAGAAAAAATACATGAGTCATACAATGGAATAATAACAGAGGCTGAGAATTCAGATACTATGGCTTTTTTGCATGTTTAAATTTCAAATTCACAATCCAGTCATATGCATTTAGAATGTTTTTAAATAAACTTTGGACAAGAAGTGAATTCAAAGGAAAATAATTAAAAAACACATCTATGACTATAATCATAAATTATGACCTAGAAATCACAAAGGGGCTTCAGAGAGTTCATGGGAAAATTCCATCTTTTAATTTCATTTTTTCATGAACTCTTTGAAGCCCCTTCATATAGACCAATATTCTGAAAAGTTATTTCTTCTATAGGATGTATGCAAAAATATTAACAACAAAAAAATCACCAAATCTTCAAGGAGAGAGCTTATATAGCAAAGAACTTTTATAAATTGTTTATTGACAACACGACTTACACATCTCAAAAAGAAAAACATAGCATATGTTGTTAAATACCATCAAGTTGGATCCAACTCATAGTGATGCTGTACAGAGTTTCCAAGGAGAGACTGATGAATTCAAACTGCCATCCTTGTAGTTCAAACTGACCTTGTGGTTTAGTGCTTATCCTACAGCGCTACACCAGGACTCCAATCCAATATAGCACATAATACTTTAAAATTTTTAATTGACCATGGAATCCTTTTTTCAAAGACTACCCAGTGGAATTCGTGATCTGCAGAACATACATTCAGAAATGGTTCTATAGACAGAGTTTAAAACTATGTCCTTTTTAAAATATCCTGTAGACTAAGAATGAGTTTTCCATTGTAAAACACTGGTAAAATTAAGAATATGCCCAAACTGTGTATAGCTGTCAAGGACTAAAATAATAATTATCTAGTCCTTAACATAAAAAGTGTGTTAGCTCCCATTTACATTATTTCCTGAAGAAATTTAAATAAATTGGTACAGCCAAAACAACCAATAATGCCCTACTTCAGGGAAATGTCTGTGCCAGAAAACAGGAAGCTACCAAAAATCCTAGGATGCAATCAAGAGAGTTAATAACAATACCCAAGTAAAAAAGGAATAAATAGGCTATCAATCTGAAAGTAAAGCATATGATGAGTAAAGATTTTAAGGCCATAAATCATGAACAGTGATCGTTCATCAATGTTAAAAAGTTAACTTCTTGAAGGCAGGAACCTAATGAGCTTCATATTCCAGTACCTAGTATAGTGCTAACACATTTTTAAGTGCCATCGAGTTGATTCTGACTCATAGTGACCCTGTATAGGGTTTCCAAGGAGCAACTGGTGAGCTTGAACCACCGACCTTGCATTCCAAACCGACCTTGCAGTCCAGCGCATTAACCTGCAGTGCCATACCAGGCCAACACATTACAGATTATCAATGTGTGTTTGTTGATCTGAGCTTAAATCCTAAAATCCAGGAAAATCCTCTCAAATTGAAGGGCCAGATTAAATTTCAAGGCTGTCTGATCATCTGAAATTACAGAACACATCACAAATCTGGCATAACTGAAAAAAGAAAAAAAAAAAGAAAAGAAAATATTTATTCATAAAATGATCCATAATTGGGTAAGGTTAATTAGGATGTTTTGGGTTATGGTTATCATCGGGCAGAACTAGCCCTTGCTTTATCACACAGTATTATTTTTCATTTCTATCACTGGTTTTGGAGTCCTGGTGTGGCACTGTGGGTTAATGCACTGGTCGGTTTGAACCGAAGGATCAACGGTACAAGCTCACCAGTCACTTCTTGGAAACCCTATATAATAGGGTCTCTATTAGTCGGAACTGACTCGAAGTCATACAACAACAACAAAATCATTGTTTTAGAACTACAATTTACTTTTTATCTTGAATCACCTCCAAATAAACTCTCTTAAGACCAGAAACATTATCTTTAGGATATGGATGTATAATGTAGAACTTGGTTATTGGCTGCTGTGTAATTAGCCCTAATTCATGGCAACAGCACGCACAGTAGAATTGGAGTGTTAAAATACATATGGTTTTCATTGGCTGATTTTCAGAAATAGATCACCAGGTCCTTCTTCCTAGTCTGTCTTAGCTGAATCTGTTTTCAGTATCATAGCAACATGCAAGCTTTACTGACAGATGAGTGGTGGCTGTACTCTGATGTACTGGCCAGGAATAATACCCAGGATGCTCTCATGTGAAGACCTAGAATTCTATAACCACCACTGTCCTCAACTTAGAACTTTAGATAGTAAATAACAATATCATTTTAGATTTACACATGAAAAATTAAGGTAGTTCATCATTGATAAGCACTTAATTTGGAACAAAAACCTATAAATTTCACAAGCATACTGAAAAACTAGACTGGAAAATACCAAAATGGCTATCAGAAGAGACTCTCAAACTTGCTCTTAGATACAGAGTAGCTAAAGCAAACTGACGAAATGGTAAGTGAAAGAACTGAACAGAAGATTTCAAAGGGCACCTTGAAAAAACAGAGTATTATAATGAAATGTGCAAAGGTCTGGACTTTGAAACCAAAAGGGAAGAACACAATGAGCACTTCTCAAGCTGAAATAACTGAAAGGAAATTCAAACCTAACATTGAAATACCAAAGGACCAAAAATTGAATGACAAAGGAAGTGGCTAAAGAAGATGGAAGGACTACATAGCCACTGTACCAAAAAGAAATAGTCAATAAATAAGTGTTATAAATAATTTCATAACGTGACTTATGACAAACACTGGTACTGGATGAAAAATTTCAAGGTGCTGGAAGAAGTGCAGCCAGAGTGCTCCTTGGAGGACAGGATGGCCAAACGTTGTCTCTCATACTTCAGACATATTATCAGGGGGTACCAGTCGCTGGAGAAGGATATCATGTTTGGTAAGGTGTTAGGTCAGAGAAAAAGAGGAAGACCCCCAACAAGATGGATTGGCAAAGTGGTAGCATCAATGGGCTTAAGCGTGACAACAATTGTGAGGTGGCACAGGAGTGGGCAGTGTTTCATTCTGTTGTGAATAGGGTCGCAATGAGTTGATACCCACTCAATGTCACCTAACAACAACAACCAGATGTTCATATAACATTAACTCAATACATAATTTACCAAAAATTGTAGTTAAGTGCTGTGGAATCAGTTCCAACTGTTATAGGGAAAAAAATCAATTATATCTTCGAATATATAAATATTATAGATTCTTTATGTAGTCTTAAACAAGAGTAAATACAAGACAAAAACAAAGATAGATTGTCCAGGTGATGGAAATCATAGACACCACGAGTTCCCAAAGTTCCGCTTCCAGGTTGTAAAGAGCAAAGGAATCTCCTCCCAAAATGTCACATAGGCATGCCCAGCCTACGGAAAAAGGAAGAGGACTATTGCAGATAAAAAAATTTAGTCTCTGAGTCTCTCGGGGCATGCCATCACAACCAGGTGACTGTTACAAGAAAAATCTAGGGATGTTCCTTCGAAAGAAGTCAAAACTTACTTTTAAATATACTGTTTTTAACTCTGGAAGTTCAGAGGAGCATGATGTACTCAAGAAAAATTGGCATCTGAACACTTAGACCTAGGCACAAGATAGAATTAAACTCTGCTAGGCCGTGGAGTCACAGGAGCTCTGGTAGAGTAGTGATTACGAATAGGGCTGCTAATCTCAAGGTCGGCAGTTTATAACTATCAGCTGTTCTGCGAGAGAAAGATGAGGCTTTCTGCTCCCGTAAAAATTTGCAGCCTCAGAAACCCTGTGCAGGGTCACTGAGTTGGAACCAACTCCACAGCACTTAACAACGAAAAGGCTGGAGTCATTCACAGGCAAAAAGCCTTCAGACTTCATGCTTTACAGCACGACTTCAACGATGTACCGTATAGGGTTTCCAAGGAGTGGCTGTTGGTTTGAACTGCCAACGTTAGGGTTAGCAATCTAGTGCTATGTTACAGCAGCACACCCAGCCTCCTGTGCCTAAAAATAGGAAATAAGATTTCTTCCTAATGATTAAAATATACCCCACCCCAATATTAAGGAAATAAAGTGAATTTGAATTCTCAAATTCTAATTCTGAGTTAATAAATAGATAATAAATTCTTGTTACAATTTAAAAAAAATTTTTTTTCAAGGTGCATTGAGGAACATTTCATAATAAATGTTGTTGTTAAACCCTGTATAGGGTTTCCAAGTCCTAGTGTGGCACTATAGGATAAGTACTGGACCACAAGTTCAATTTGAACCACAAGGTCAGTGGTTCAAACCCACCAGCTGCTCCTCGAAAACCCTATATAGGATCGCTACAAGTCAGAATGGACTCAACAGCACTTAACAACAATAGCACTTCTAGGGCTGCAAATCTTTGTGAGACGAGAAATCCACATCATTCTCCCACAGAGCTGCTGGTGGGCTTAAATTGCCGCTTGTGGTTTGCAGTTCAGTGCTTGTATGAGCCACTGTGCTCCCTAATAGAAGAATAAGATATAATAAAAGAAAAAGATAATAATCCCACTGTGTGAACACACCCGTTAAAGAGCTGAATTGAACTGAAAGGAGAAACAGACAACTTCATAATTACAAGTAGAACCATCAACCATCCTCTCTCAGTAATTGACAGAATACTTGGGCAGAAGGTTGCTAAGTCTAAGGGGGACTTAAACAACACTAAAACTCAACGTGACCTAATTTATAGACTACTCACTCAATAACCTTAAGGTTCACAACCTGATTCGTAACCACTACGCTACCAGAGCAGCAGTTCGAAACTACCAGCCGATTCATGGGGGAAAGATGAGGCTTTCTACTCCCGTCAAGATTTATAGCCTTGGAAACTCTGTACAGGGTTGCTATGGGTCGGAACCGACTTGAGGGCACTTAACAACAACAACAACACTCAATAAGGAGTCCTGATGTGATGCTGTGGGTTAATGTGCTGGACTGCAAAGTTGTTTGAATCACAAAGTCAGTAGTTCAAGCTCACCGGTCACTCCTTGGAAACCCTATACAGGGTCGCAATGGGTCAAAATCGACTCGATGACACTTAACAACAACAACAACACTCAATAAGGAGTCCTGGTGTGGCAATGTGGTTAATGCACCAGACTAAAAAGCTATTTGAACTGTAAGGTCAGTGGTTCAAGTTCACCAGCTGCTCCTTGGAAACCCTATACAGGGTCGCTATGGGTCGGAATTGACTTGACAGCACTTAACAACTAAAACAACACTCAATAAGGGCTCTGGTTATGAATCAGGCTGCTAACCTCAAGGTCGGCAGATCAAAACTATCAGATGTTCCGCAGGATAAAGATGAGGCTTTCTGCTCCTGTAAAGATTTACAGCCTGAGAAACACTGTGCAGGGTCACTATGAGTTGGAAACAACTCCACGATACTTAACAACAACACACTCAATAACAGAACACATGTTTTTTTTCAGGTATACCTAAATATGTACAAAAATAGTAATTATACAAATATACCCTGATCACAATGGAACTAAATTAGAAATTAATAATAAAAAGATACCTGAAAAATCCCTAGATACTTGGAAATTATATAACATACTTTTAATAAACCATTGGTCAAAGAAGAAGCTAGCAAAGATATTAGAAAATATTTTGAGATAAATGCTAATAAAAACATAACATCAAAATGTGTGTGGTATTCAGGCAAAGCAGTGTTTGATGCAAATTTATAGCCCTAAAGGTTTATTTTGGGGTCCTGTTGTGTGGCATTGTAGGATAAGCACTGAACTATGAACCACAAGGTCAGCGGTTCAAACTCACCAGATGCTCCTCAGAAACCCTATAAGGTAGCTGAATTTGAACCAACTTGATGACACTTAGCAACAACAACAGAGGCTTAAAGAAGTTGTTATTGTTGTTAAGTGCTGTCAAGTTAGTTCTGACTCATAGAGACTCTGTATAGGGTTTCCAAGGCTATAAATCTTTACAGGAGCAAAAAGCCTCAGGAGCAGCTGGAAAATTCAAATTACCTTGAGGTTAGCAACCCAGTTTGTAATCCACTATGCTACCAGGGCTCCTTCTTATTGGGGTTAAGTGCTAACGAATTGGTTCTGACTCATAGCGATCCAGTACAGCGTTTCCAAGGAGTGGTTGGTAGGTTTCAACTATTGACCTGTGGTAAACAGTCAAGTGCTTATCCTACAGTGCAATACCAGGACTCCATATTAAAAAGGAAGGTCTAAAATATTTTAAATCTAGAAAATATGAACAAATTAAACCCAAAACCAAAGCACAAAGAATAGATATCAATAAGGAGAAAATGAAAAAGCAGTCAAAAACAGAAAAAAAAAAGGACACCCAAAGCTGGCTGTTTTTTTAAAAAAAAAAATTAAAAAAAGGGAGAGAGAAACACACATGAAACAGCACAATGCTACTGAATCCTATATACATTAAAATGGTAATAGGATACTAAACATTTTAAAAGGTGCTCTAATAGCATAGTGGTTACGAGTCGGGCTGCTAAGTTCAAAGGTCAGCAGTTCAAAACTACCAGCTGTTCACTGGAGAAAGATGAGGCTTTCTGTTCCTATAAAGATTGACAGCCTTGGAAACAGAGTCGCTATGAGTTGGAACTGACTCCACAGCACACCATGAAACATTTTAAATTAGCCAACCTACCTCTTCAAAGGAATATTTTTCTACAGTATGAAGAGCATCTTGTGTTTCATTCCATCCTCCAATAGCATAGATGCAGTCATTTAGTGCAGCCACTCCAAGATATGCTCTTCTGGTTCCCATTGGAGGAAGTGGAGACCACCGCTTGGATAGTGGATCATAAACTTCAAAAGAACGAAGCTCTATTCCTTCATTGCTGATGCCCCCAATTACATAAATTAAACCTGTAAATGGAATATTTTTGTTCAGATGTCATATAAAATAGAATATAAGCAATAGTAAATACTTTTGCTCTAAGGTGGCTATGCTGATGCTATACCTGTGTAGGGTTTCAGTGGAGCGATTGGTAGGTTTGAACTACCGACCTTGTGGTTAGTAGTCCAGTGCTTATCCTATAGCACCACACCTGCAATATTATTTTTTAATTAAATTTCCACTTTAATTTCTAAATCACAGTAGAGTAACAGGAATAGTGACTATCTTTTGTTGACTACTATGTGGTGAATGATTGATATGCCTTACTAATTCTATTGATTTGCCTTATTACTTCCAATGTAATAGGGTTATCATATCATTTCCAGTGTAAGAAAGGGAAAAACACAAAAAGCAAAAGTCACTATGCCCAGAGCATTAATCTCAGTTATTTCAGAGTTTGAATTTGAACCTAGTTTAGCCTGGCTCCAAAGGAGTGAGTGTGTGCATACAACTCACTTGAAAAATAATACACACATATGCAAGACTTACAATTATTTTGTTTGCAAACCATACTTGATATACATGTAAAGTCAAAATTTATTTGCACACATTCTATAGCCTAATAAGAGCCGTTATACACAGATTGTTAGTAACCACTCTCTTTCTACCTATACACTTTGAACTTTTCTGCTTTGGAGCCTTTGCTCTGAGTGGTCCCCTGCTCAGACCACTCTCCTCACCACTTTCATCTGTCAAAAGCCTACATTCTAAGGCTCATGCTATTTAATCAAGGAGACTTTCCTTGATCTTCCAATAAGCTGTTGTTGTTAAATGCCACTGAGTTTGTTTCTACTCATGGTGACCCTGTATAGGGTTTCCAAGGAAGGGTTGGTGACTCTGAACTGATGACCTTGCAGTTCAAATTGACCTTGTGGCCCAGTGCTTTATCTACAACACCACACCAGAACTCCTCCAATAAGCTGATACTGGTGGTGTTAGGTGCCATCAAGTTGGTATTGACTCACAGAGATCCTATGCACAGGAGAATGAAACAGTAGCTGATCCTGCACCAACCTCACAATCATTGCTATGCTTGTCCACACTGCTGCTGCCACTATGCCAATCCATCTCATTGAGAGTCTTCCTCTTATTAGCTGCCCCTCCACTTTACCAAGCATCATGTCCTCCTCCGGGGACTGGTCCCTCCTGATAACATGTCCAAAAGACAAGAGACAAACGGCTATCCTGGCTTCTAGGGAGCATTCTGGCTATACTTCTTCTAACACAGATTATTTGTTTGTTGTTTTGGCAGTCCATGATACTTTTTTTTGTGTGTGAATTGAGGGATTGTTTACATGGGTGAACATCAGCTTTATATTCATCTTATCGTATTTTGTTTCATTGCAATGATTACAATTGATGGTCTATTCCACAGTCTGCCCCAGGCCTTGTTTTCACTGATGATATGGAACTTTTCCATGGTCTCTTTCCACAGATGTAGTCAATTTGATTTCTATGTATTCCCTCTGGCGAGGTCCATGTGTAGAGTCGTCTCTTATGCTGTCTAAAGAAGGTATTTCAAATGAATAAATCATTAGTTTTTCAGAATTCTATCATGCATTCTCCAGCATCATTTCTATCACCAAGGCCGTATTTTCCAACTACTGATCCTTCCTCTTTGCTCCCAACTTTTGCATTCCAATCACTGTGAGTAATGATCAATATCTTGATTGCATGTTTGATCAATTTCAAATTGAAGAAGTTGGTAGAATTCTTCTATTTAATCTTCACTGGCTTTAGTGGTTGGTGCGTAAATTTGAATAATAGTGGTATTAACTGGGCTTCCCTGTAGGCCCATGGATATTATCCTATCACTTAAAGCATTGTACCTCATGACTGATCTAGATATGTCCTCTTCAATTTGTCATTCCCTGCATAGTAAACCCTGCATAGTGGTTGTCAGATTCAAAATGGCCAATACCAGTCTATTTCAGCTCACTAATGCCTAAGATATCGATGTTTATGCGTTCCATTTCATTTCTGACTACTTACAATTTTCCCAGATCCATACTTTGTACATCCCATGTTCCAATTTTCAATGGCTGTTTACAGCTGTTTCTCTTTGAGTTGTGCCCCATTAGTAAATGAAGGTACCACGGGCTTTTCTCCCATGAGCATTACTCCATTCGCATTATCACGGTCCCCTCTATTTTGAGGAAGCAGCTCTTCCCCAGTCGCATTTTGAGGGCCTTCCAACTTGAGGGGCTCATTTTACGGCACTATATCTGACAGTGTTTCTCTGCTATTCATAAGATTTACAGTGACTAAATATTCGGGAGTAGGTTGTCACTCTTTCTTCCTAGTCTGTCTTTGTCTGAAAGCTCATCTGAAACTTGTCCACCATGGGTGACCCTGCTGGTATTTAAAATACCGGTGGTATAGACTCCAGAATCACAGCAACTCACAAGCCACCACAGTACAACAAACTGACAGACAAGTGGTGGCCATTTGGTTTTAAATAGTCACTTTAAATTTCAAGAAGATCTGTGTGTATGCGTAGTAGAACCCTTCAGGGGTGGGGATGTGGTGTCCATTCGCTCAGGCATCCCCTCTAGTCACCAGAATGGAGGTGTGCAGACAGTGAGAGACCAATGAATAGATAACAAAAAAACAATGTCCACATCTGTATCTCCATGGTTCTGTCAGGCGTTCATGGCTGTTTTGATCCTTCCCCCACTTGGTCTCTCCCAAGATGGTGGCTCCCGGGAGTAGCTTAGCATCTTGAATTAGAAAGCAACTGATTTCTTGATTCTACTACAAATTCCCCTAGCTGTAAGCTTTCCAATCTTCTAAGTATTCCTTTATATGTGATTCAGAGTTCTAGCACCATCCCCTGTGCCTGCTTGGTCCGGTATTCTGTGTTGTTGATGATGGAGCTCCTCACTGCACGTTTACCCAATCCGCCATCTTAGAAAAGATCCCTCTCTACGTCTAAGATTTTTAGACTGGATGGTCAAAATAATGCATATAAAACAACTAGAGCACACTGTAATATTAAACAGTTGTACCGTGTAATTCGAAAATTTAAATGCTAATGGAAATCAGAAAAGGTGCCCATCAAGCAGAAGAAACTTGAGCTGGGTACTGAGCAAGCTGAGCTGCCATATAACTATGGGCAGATAGCTTTCTACTCCAGAGGTGCATGCCAATCTTCAATAACTCTGGACATTCCGTTTCTATTTGGCAATGCTTAACTATTTTAATATATAGTATGATATTTTTCAAATTCATGATTCAATTATTTCCTGTGGACAGAATCATAATGTACCTTGTAAAAACATTGAAGAGGCCTTTAAGAAACAGTATGTGAAGATTACTTTTTATATTCTAGCCCTACTTAGAAATACTGAGAAACGCCTGAATGGGACAGAAAATGACAATGAATGCCAGTTCAAATACTTACTTTGCTAAAACCAAAACCCACTGCTGTGGAGTCAATTCTAACTCATAGTGACCCTGTAGGACAAAGCAGATAAGGTTTCTAAGGCTGCTCCATAAGGTTTCTAAGGCTGCAGTCATTACAGATGCAGGCTGACACAGCTTTCTTCCCACTGAGTGGCTGGTAGATTCTAACCTCTTATCAGTTAGCTGCTGAGTGCTTAACCACTGCACCACCAGGGCTCCTACTTTCTTGGGAAGTCTGGTATTTTTGTGTATCTAGAATTTTAAATTCTAGTGTTTTTTATTTTGGAAAAAAAAAATTGTTTTTGCAGTAACAAATAAAGGTCAATGATATGAGATAAAAAGTAGAACTACTATACTACTGTTGTTATGTGCCGTGAAGTCAGTTCTGACTCATAGCGACCCTGTACAGGGTTTCCGAGGCGGTAAATCTTTATGGGAGCAGAAAGCCTCATCTTTCTCCTGAAGAATAGCTGGTAGTTTCGAACTGCTGACCGTGAGATTAGCAGCCCGATTCATAACCACTATAGTACCAGAGCGCCTTACTACTAATGCCAATCATTTAATGTTGCTGGGCGCCATCAAGTCGATTCTGACTCACAGCAACCATCCCCACAATAGGACAAAACACTGCACAGTCCTGCACCATCCTCACAATCCTTGTTAAGCTTGAGCCCATTGTTGCTGCCACTGTTCTAGTCAATCTCATTAGGGGTCTTCCTCTTTTTTGCTGACCTTCCATTTTACCTAGCATGATATTCTTTTCCAGGGAATGATTCCTCCTGACAGTATGTCCTAAGTATGAGAGACAAAGTCTCGCCATCCATCCAATGCTTCCAAGTAGCATTCTGGTTGAACTTCATCCAACACAGATTTGTTTGATCTAGTAGTCCATAGCACATTTAATATTCTCCTTGAAAAACATAACCCAAATGCATAATTCTTCAACAGTCTTCCTTATGTCTAATGCTATATGTCCTCTGATTTCTTGACTGCTGATTCCATAAGTGTTGATGATGGATCCAAGCAAAATGAAGTCTTTGACAACATCAATCTTTTCTCCATTTATCATGATATCAATTATTGCTCCAGTGGTGAAGATTTTTATTTTGTGTACATTGAGGTACAACCCATACTGAAAGCTGTGGTTTTTGATTTTCATCAGTAAGTAATTTTAATCCTCTTCACCTTCAGCAAGCAAGGTTCTATCATTTGCATATGGCAGGTTGTTAATGAGTATACCTCCAATCCTGATGCCCTAGTCTTCATATAATCCAACTTCCTGGAGTATTTACACAGTATACATACTAAATAAGTATGGTGAAAGAATACAACCCTGGCACACATCTTTCCTGATTTAAACCATTCAGTATCCTCTTACTCTGTTCAAACAATTGCCTCTTTGTCTATGTACAGGTTCCTCATGAGCCCAATTAAGTGTTCCAGAATACTCATACTCCGCAATGTGGTTCATAGCTTGTCATGATCTACACAGTCGAAATTTTGCTTTTGAACAGTCAATAAAGCACAGGTAAACATCTTTCTGGTGTTTTCAGCTTTCGGCCAA